GTCGACCATCTATTCTATGGGAACATTAAGGCCAAATTTTTAAAGACGTCTCAAGGCCGATCGATGATCGCCCGAGTCCAAAGGATAATGCGTAAAGTGGGTAGCAGTGATTGCTTGTTCACGCGCGCTCGAGGAGCCCTTGCAGAGCGGAAAATGGCCCAGGCCCTGCGAATTTAGCAAACTTATGACTGGTCTAGTAAATCCATTTCCATTCGAGGGAGTGTACTAAAAGAGAGAGAGAATTTTAATATTGATATATTTGTACTAATGACATACGTGGCCAACTCGCTTTTGAATCCCGCAATCTACGCTCTACGGATTCCAGGATTTAGAGAAGATCTAGTACAAGTATTTTGCTGTGCTCACAACCGTATCACCCCAGTCGATCTGCTACTTCGGATCTCAGGAACATCTCACATAAATCATTGAGATCCAACCAAGAATAAAGTTTGATTTTGACGTTATTGACTCATCGCATTTTGCATTGCTTTAATCGGCTAAGATTGAAATAAGAACGGTTAACTTAACTGGCTATATATTTACATTTTCATAGTTGAGAAACAAGGAGTCTGTGTTGCCGAATAGTTATTGTGATAAACTTGTAATCTGATGGTCCAGGGTACAACTGCATTTGTTATCGGTTGCCCCGTGTTCAACTCCTTGCTTGCGCTTTGAATAAAGCCAAGTGGTTTGCCTCTGACCGGTTGGGATTTTTAACCACTTCCTCTCATCAAAGGGTTAGTTTCCGATTTGTTTGTATTGGCTCTAAAACACCCTGTTAAGGAAGCGGCAAATAATAGCAAGTGAAAGGGTTTTTTCTGTTTTTCTCTTTTTTTTTTAGGATAAAGCATTTATAACAAAGGATTGATACATTTTTTTTCTTTTATAGTTTGTAACTTAATAATTTTCATAAAAAATTATGCTTTTAACTTAAGCTTGTATATCCTTTCCAGGCCGTTATTTTCCGTTTTCCCCTTGTCTTTCCAAAGCTTTACTATACTTTCCTTTCGAAATTAGAAGTGTATCAGCGAAGATTTTATATTTGAATGTCCTTATGCGGTATTTTATTTCGATTGTTTGGTACTATTTTTAAGTGTTATACTTGTTGGCTTTAAATTAATTAATCATAAATTAAGTATCCAGAATAAGTTTTAAAAGTTGTGTAATATTTTCATCATTACCACTCAGTACTGTGAGTATTTGTTATCATTACTTGTTACTACTGGCGCCAGTAGTTATCAAGCAGTTAAATATTGTAAATACTGCAAGTTTGGGCACTGAAAGTATTTTCAGTACTGTTAGCTTCTGTGTGCGGTGTTCAATTTTTCTCTGAAAGTTACATGATTGTTTTATGGTTGTTATGGGACCATTGTAAACGATGCCACAAACTATTGAGAGTAATTTATATAATGTATTGTAGAGTGAAAATCGTTTGATTCTGAACTTATGTACTTCCTTGTAAGTAAAACGAAATTGAAGCAGAAAGTAAAACAAAAACCTTCTCTGCCTTGAACACCTATAATTCAGCCAGAAAAACTTTAATTTGTCAAATTGTTTTTGACTCTCATTTCTACACTCCTTACTAAACTCCATTCAGACGGAGGGAACTGGGGACAGCAAAGATAAATCTGTTGCTGTCATTTAATAAAATCCTGATAACTGGTCGCGATGAAGTTAATAACTCTGATTCAAGCTGACTTGCGCAGAGCGATTCGAGGAACAGCTTGCCACCTTGCGGTAATAGAAATCGTCTTTTCAACTCCCTCCAAAGCTGTCCACTCTAACTCTAACTCCGGATAAACGATTGCGAGCTTATACACGATTTGCAGTGTAATGAAATAAATGTGCGAACCTCGGTTCGTTTGTTGACCTTTTCCTGCCAGGGATTTTATTCACAATCATTCCTTATTTACTGTGTGAAAATAAGCTACCGCCGTCGTAAAGCTTAGTGACAAGAATATTTATGCCACATTAGCCTACAGAGCAAGCGTGGTTTAAGCAAGCGAGTGATTACTACCTCCTTATTAAAAATTAGAGCTGCCATCTTTTATATTTTAACAGCAGGGGAAGGCTGGGGAGAAAAATAAATTTGCACCAGGGAAGCGACCGATGGTAGAAAGGAAGGAGAGCAGGGATGGGTGGGTTATGAGTTGATTGATTGATTGATTGATTGATTGATTTAGGAACCGATCATCATTCATAGCCTTGAAGATTTCAGTAAGATCACATGGTTTTCGAGGGGATCAGTCGTCATCAAT